GAAAGAAATGAAAGTAACCAGTAAAAGTCTGAAATAGAAGAAGCAAGCTACCATCCCTAGGAGGGCTCAGCTGATCCTCTAGAAATCAATGAATCTAGATAACCTTCAGGATTTTCTGAATTCGGGCAAAGGGCTGGGTCTTTATACACCCATGTTTATCAGTCTTTGAATATAGGCCACCAGGAAAAAAGGGAGTGACCTTAGACAAGCTGAGGTAATCACTAAAGTGGACTGACAGTTGATGGCTGTTTGCTGGCAGCCTTCCCAAAAGCCGAGGGCAAGGCTTTTCATTCTGAAAGAATCACAGCAATTACGGGAAGTGCCTGTTCATGGCTCATTGTTCATTCATACATCTTTGTGAAGTATCTGTTCAAATCTAGTCATTCAATGGATCACTTTCTCTTGTTGATTTTTAGCTATTTCTTATACTATGTGGACATGAACCATATATCAGGCATATGAATATTTGTTTTCCCCCTTCTTGATGGTTAATTCATTTTGTTTTTAATCGTTTAGGTTTTTTGTTTGTTTTACTGCTATTTTCAAAACAGCTACTCTGTGTACCTCTGGATGTCTTAGAACTTATCTGTAGACCAGGCTGGCCTCAAAATCAGAGATCTGCCTATCTCTGCCTCCCAAATGCTAGGTCTAAAGGCGTGCACCACCACCACCTGGCCTGAAAAAGAATTTTAAATGTTGATGGTCTAGTATGATGCACACACATCATACACATATCATGCAAAGAAAGTTAAATTATGTATAATTTTTGTTTTGTTTTTCGAGACAGGGTTTCTCTGTGGCTTTGGAGGCTGTCCTGGAACTTGCTTTTATCTGGTCTCGAAATCACAGATCTGCCTGCCTCTGCCTCCCAAGTGCTGGGGTTAAAGGCGTGTGCCACCACTGCCCTGCTCAAATTATATCTAATTTAAGAGCTAGAAAGAACTTCAAAGATTATGTAGTTCAACAACCAATTTTACAGAAGAAAACAAGGCCCTGAGAGGTTCTAGAGACAAAGGATTTGATGGCACTGTTGGAAATTGAGGAAATGCTAGTGACCACCAAGAAAAATGTCCTTTTTTTTTTTCAATATTTTTATTTACTTAATTTAAATAGTATGTAAACTGGGTGGTAGTGGTGCTTGCCTTTAATCCTAGCACTCGGGAGGCAGAGGCAGGTGGATCTCTGTGAGTTCCAGGATAGCCTGGTCAACAAGAGCTAGTTCCAGGACAGCCTCAAAGCCACAGAGAAATCCTGTCTTGAAAAACCAAAAAAAAAAAAAAGAAGAAGGAGAAGAAAAAAAGAAATTGTATGTGAACTGGGTGGTAGTGGCACACACCTTTAATCCCAGCACTCAGGAGACGGAGGCAGGCAGATCTCTGTGAGTTTGAGGCCAGCCTGGTCTACAGAGTGAGTTCCAGGACAGCCAGGGCTATAGAGAGAAACCCTGTCTCAAAAAAACAAAAACAAACAAATTTATGTGTATACTTGTCTGTGTGTACACCACGTTGTAATGGGTTGTTCCTTGTACTATCAGCTGCATCATGTTGTAATGGGTTGTTCCGTGTACTGCCAGCTCCCAAGTAATAACACAGAGAATTTCATTACTTATGAAAGCTTGGCCTTAGCTAAGGCTTGTTCCCAATGAACTCTTAAAACTTATATTATCCCACTTACATTAATCTACATTTTTCCACATGACTTGTTACCTCTCCACAGTAAAGTATGCCTGATTTCCTCTGAGTCTGGCTGGTGAATTCCCTGCCTCAGAATCTTTCCCAGAGTTCCTATCTCTCCCCAGAAGTCCTGCCTATCATCTCCTGCCTAGCTATTGGCCATTCAGCTCTTTATTAAACCAATCAGAAGGTGCCTTAGGCAGTGAGGTAAAACATATGTCTTCAAACAGTGTACAAAAAGATTATCCCAACACAATGTTTATGCAGGAACCCTTAGAAGCCAGAAGATGATGTTGGATCCCTTGGAAATGGAATTACAGGAAGTTGTGAGCCACCATGTGGATGCTGGGAACTGAACCCTGGTCCTCTATAGCCAATGCTCTTTGACAAAACTTGTCTCCAGCTCCTGTCTGCCCTTCTTACTGATTTTCCCTGGATACACTGCAGTATTTTTTTGAGGATCTGTATGTGCTACTTGTCTGTGAACACTCGTCCCCACCCTGTTTCCATGGTCACAGTTTTCTGTTTCTTCTTTCCCTAGACTCTGCACAGCATTCATTCCTACCCATGTCTGTAGAAGCTATAGATACCCAAAAGCCTAAAAGTAAGGAATCTGGTTTGGTTTTTAAGGACTGAACTCCTGATTATTTTTGTGGAATATATAGATTCATTCAGTGAACGTCAAAGTCAAAGATAAACAACCTGAGACAAAGCATCACAAACTTATTTTCAGAGTTGGACAAATGCTGTGTGAGCATTTCATACACCGAGGTTGGTTCAGCACAATGAACTAAGCATTCCTAAAAGGTGACATGTCGACCACATGGCATATCATTATGGAGCATTCCATTTATGATGTACACTCATTTGTTTCCAGGTGTGGACTTTTTTCTTCTTTCCTCTTTTTTTCCATCCTTCTCTCCTTTTTTTTTTTTTTGTTTTTTGGTTTTTGGTTTTCGAGACAGGGTTTCTCTGTGTAGCTTTGGAGCCTATCCTGGCACTCGCTCTGGAGACCAGGCTGGCCTCGAACTCACAGAGATCCTCCTGCCTTTGCCTCCCAAATGCTGAGATGAAAGGCGTGCACCACCAATGCCGGGCCCTTCTCTCCTTTTTGAGACAGGGGTTTACTTTGTAGCCCTGGCTGGAACTCACTGTGTAGACCAGGCTGACCTGGAACCCATAGAGATCTGCCTCTGCCCCCAAAGTGCTGAGATTAAAGGCACATACCATCATGACTGACCATTTTTTTGTTGTTGTGTATTATTTATGTGTTTGGGTGTTTTGCCTACAGGTATGTGTCTTCGGAGGGCATTGGTTCCCCTGGAACTGAAGATACAGATGGTTGTGAACCATCATGTGGGTGCTGGAAGCCGAATTCAGGTCATATGCAAGAGTCGCAAGTGTTCTTAACTGCATGACCAGCATGACCACCACCAAACCTCTGATTTTTTTTCCCCCTATGAGATAAGGTTTCATGTAGCCCAGGCTGGTCTCAAATTCTAATTCAGTCCATAACCTAGAATGGCCTTTAGCTCCAGATCCTTCTACCTTCACCTGCCAAGTGCTGGGATTACAGGGGTGTACTATCGCATCAAGCCTTTTACATTTGTTCACAAGCACACATGTCAATAGAACTGATCTGTGTTTGCATGATCTAGCTTGATTTATCTTTTTCTCTTCTTTTGAGGCAGGGTGACTGTATGTAGCTCAGACTGGCCTCAAATTTGTATCCACCTGCCTTAAGCTACTTGATGCTGGGTTTACAGGCAAGGGCCACAACGCCTGGTCAGTGATCTAGCTTTGAATTCAGAACCAAATGCTTTTGTGGTGTGTATTGAAAACCTGAGGTTTTAGGACCAGCTGAGTTCTATTTTGTCCTTTCTCTGTTTATGTCAATAGCCAGAATCTCTGTCCCAGTTAAGAGGCGGAAATTATTCAAGAGGCTCCTTAGCAATGCCCAACACCCACTTAAAAAACAACAGGTCATCCACAGGCAGTTTACTTCAACAGAATAGCTTGAGAAAACAATAAAAGAAGGCTGTAGAAGGTATTACTTTCTTAGGAGTTTAAATATCATTTATTCCTTTTTTTAAAAAAAACTTTTGTTTTCTTTTGAGATAGGGTCTCAAAAAAGATAAAAGCTGGCCTTTAACTTTTAATGATCCTCCTGCCTCTGTCTCGAGGTGCTGGGATTACAGGTGTATGTCACCATGCTCAGCTTCTTTTCTTTTCCTTTTCATAATATCTTGGAGAGACCAAATTCCTGTCACACAAATAAATGAACTAAAGATATCCCGGGAACGTCTAAAGCTAGTTAGAGCATACCCTAAAGAGAGAAACTGTCTGTCACACAGTAATTTAGCACTGGGGAGCTGGAGCAGGAGGGTCCAGAGTTCAGTGCCAGCCTTAGCTACCTAGTGAGTTCAAGGCCAGGCTAGGCTACATTCAATCCATTTCAACAAAAAGGGGGAAAAAAGGAAAGGTGGTTTTTGTTGGTTTTGTTTTTTATCTACTTTAGGGGATAAAGAGATGGCTCAGGGGTTAAGAGTACTGGCTGCTCTTCCAAGAGGTCCATGTTCTGTTCTCAGAACCCACCAGGCAGCTCACAACCACCTATAACTCTATTTCCAGGGGATCTGATGCCCTCTTTTGACCTCCCAAGACACTGTTTTCGTGTTGTGCTTAGACATACATGCAAACAAAACACCTGTACACATAAAATTAAAAGTTAAAAAATTTTAAACCATCTCTGGATATGATGGCCCACGCCTTTAATCCCAACACTTGGGAAGCAGAGGCAGGCAGATCTCTGAGTTTGAAGCCATTGTGGTCAACAAAGTGAATTCCAGGACAGCCAGAGCTACACAGAGAAACTTTATCTCAGGAAAATAAATAGACAGACACACAGAAAAACTTTGTCTTCTCTGTGGACTTGGTCTCCTGTCTAGGGCTTTTCATTCTTCAATAAGCTCTCTGGCTAATATTGAGATTGTGGCTATTGGCTCACTGCTCTTTAAAAATGAGCTTCTCAACTCTCAGGAGGCAGAGGCAGAAGAGCAATATTGCTGGGAATAGGAGGTTAACCTGGTCTGCATATAACAAGTTCCAGGTCAGCCTAAGCTGCATAGTGAGACCCCGTCTCAAAAGAAAGAAAACAAAATAAAAACAAAAACAACAAAAAGAAACATGAACCTTTCTCTCTACCCAAAACAAGAGATATCAAACAGTGAAAATAATGCCCTAACTCTATCAAATGAGCAAGAGAAAAGAAATGAATCTTCAGTAGTCAATCTGCCATAGGAAACAGTTCAGGTGACAGCCAGTTACCTAGAAGCAGGACAATACTGTGATCATTGGTGATTTTTCCCACCAGGAGCTGTCATCACAGTTTCCAGAAAAGCTGCCAAGAAATAGCAGGAATTAGCATTTCACACAACCACTCCCACATGCAGAAACACACACTCAGAGGCCTTGGAACTTTTCCCAACTGCCCTTTGCCCTCCTGTCTTCCCTTTCCTCCCACCATTCCAGATAAACAGGCAAGGTGTTTGACTCACCTTGGGTAGAAGACTTCAGAAGGTGCCTTCCTCTGTCAGTGTTGCTGATGTCTTTAATCGCAACTGTTCCTAAGAATCAAAAAACCCAGGGATAAACATCTTCTACTTTCCTTTCTCCTTTTCTCCTCTGGCTGCCTCTCCTCCAAACAATACCATCAAGTCTCTAGTTCTTTAGACACTTAGCACACCCCTGCAGCTAGCAAGCCAGACAATCAGTTTCATTTTTAAAAAAATGTGACTTGATTATGTTGTACCCAACACCACAGCAATGTCTAACTCCCGTGTTGGGTCTTAATAGATGTTTGAATAGCCTTGCCTTAACTGGCCTCAGGCACATCCTGGATTTCACAGTGTGCTAAATTGTCTGAGACTGACAGGCCAGTAGCTTCCTGTCTGGGAAGATCCACCCAGAGACAGAAGACAGAGGCCCCACCGCTTCAGAGAAAAAGAACTTGCCTAAACTACACCCTTCTGCCCTTAATTCCCCCTCACACATTCTTTGGTACAGGCTGAAGTGGTCCAGAACCTGTGCTTCTTACAATGATAAATCCTTTCACTGAGCAGGTCGGCCAACAGAACAGGCTGAGACAGCCTGAATTATAGTGCAGGGACCACTAGGACACTTAGACTAGAATGCGTAAGGAACCAAGTAAAGAGAATATTTGCTAGGGTTAAGAATGAGCTTTACTTTGAGTTGGAGGCCTGGTCTACAGATTGAGTTCTAAGACAGCCACAATGGTTGTTATACAGAGAAACCCTGTCTCAGACAACAAAAGAAAAAAAGATCTCTAATGCTAGGGAGATGATTTAGCATAGTAAAAGCTCCTCCATACACACCGGGCATTGGTGGCTCATACCTTTAGTCCCAGCACTCGGGAGGCAGAGGCAGGCAGATCACTGTGAGCTCGAGGCCAGCCTGGTCTACAAAGCTAGTTCCAGGATAGGCTCCAAAGCAATAGAATTGTCCAGAATCTAGCAGGTCAGCTAGCCTGGATATGCAGCAGCAGAAAGGGGATCCTGCCTCAGCAAGGTGAAAGTTGAGAACCAACTCCTACAAGTTGTCCTCTGACCTCTGCATGTTGCTGTGAGACCTGCACATATGCACAGATGGCACACCCACCCACAAAGGCATGCATGTGCACACACACACACGCACACATACACACACAGAGAGAGAGAGATACACACACACACACAGAGAGAGAGAGAGAGATACACACACACAGAGAGATACACACACACACACACACACACACACACACACACACACACACAATTAAAGAAATTAATGTAAAAATGTTTTTGAAAGAGTCAAAGGAGAGAACCTAATCAAAGTTGAAAGCTGAATTAAAAAAAGGAATAATCTAGACATCAGTTTTCAGGGATTGGTGGGGGAATGAGCATTGACGGTCACAAAGCCTCTTTCAGAATTGCTGGAGAGTCTGCATTGCTGAAGAGGGACTTTTCAGCTGGGCAGTAGTTGCACACTTTGTTTTGTTTTGTTTTGTTTTGTTTTGTTTTTCGAGACAGGGTTTCTCTGTGGCTTTGGAGGCTGTCCTGGAACTAGTTCTTGTAGACCAAGAACTAGTCTCGAACTCACAGAGGTCCGCCTGCCTCTTCCTCCCGAGTACTGGGATTAAAGGCGTGCACCACCACCGCCCGCAGTAACACACTTTTAATCCCAGCACTCAGGAGGCAGAGGCAATAAGATCTCTATGAGTGAGTTTCAGGACAGCCAGTGCTACACAGAGAAACTCTGTCTTGAAAAATCAAAAAAAAAAAAAAAAAAACTTTTTGCAGGAAGGAGATAACACATGTCCTTAATTCCAGCACTCATGAGGCAGTGACAGGCAGATCTCTGTGCGTTTGAGGCCGGCCTGGTCTACAGAGAAAATTCTAGGACAGGCTCCAAAGCTACACAGAGAAACCCTGTCTCAAGACAGAGAGAGAGAGAGGCTGACTTTCTTACTTTTTAACAGGGAGGTCCTCAATGATTGCTTTACTTGCAGCTGAGTTTTGGCTTTGCTTTAGAAGTGTGTAATGTGGGTCACTTGGTGGGACCAGCTTGTTTTAATGGGTCAGCCACAGAGTGGTAGTATTAATATGGTATTATTAATAAAGAAGAAAAGTGCAGAAATATGCAAATAAGAAAAGGAGCTTGAAAATTGTGAATGGCTCAGCAAACAATAGCCCCAAATAAAGATCTCAGGAGCTAAGTTTCTTCCTAATCTCTGCCCTGCTGTCTCTTGACCCTCTCATTCTCTCCCAGGCAAGTCACACAGACACTAGGATTCTTCCTGCCCAAGGCAGATCACAAGTATGACAAGAGGAAAAGCAGTCCTTTCTCCCAAAGCCAGACCCGTAACCTCAAAATGCTACTGCAGTTCCCTCAACCTCCCTATGTGAGTTGACTATAAAGAAACTTACACTTTTGATTGGAACCTATTACCCTATCCTACCCCGTGTAAGGAATAATACACATAGGCCAGGAATCTCAACAGACAGGCCTTGTTGGGTTTTCCTCCTTACTCTATTACTCTCTGGTCACACCCTTTGTGTCAAATCATCTTTCCATATTGCAGTCCAAACTGTAGAACATGTACATGTAAAAGGATAGTTCATCTTGAGTCTTTAGGTCTCCTGTGTCAAACTATGAAATATATTTGTTCTCTCCCTCTTTCTCTTTCTCTCAACAGTCTATGTAGTCCTGGCTGTCCTGGAACTGGTCTCCATTTCACAGAGGTCTGCCTGCACCTGCCTCTGGAGTGCTAGGATTTAAGTCATTTGTCACCACTCTGGACCTGCTTTTTTCTTCTTCCTCTGTCTCTTATTGTGTTGGCCATGGGCTTTTTGGGGGGAGAAGGTGGTTTTCAAGACAGGTTTTCTCTATCTTTGGAGCCTGTCCTGGAACTCGCTCTGCAGACCAGGCTGGCTTCGAACTCACAGAGATCCACCTGTCTCTGGTTCCTGAGTGCTGGGATTAAAGGCCTGCCCCACCACCTCCCAGTTTGTTGGCCTTGGATCTTAATGATGGGTAGGGAAGGGTTTGCCATCTGCCCTATCTGTTCCTACACAGTTACATAACTTTTTTTGTTTTTGTTTTTTCGAGACAGGGTTTCTCTGTGTAGCTTTGGAGCCTATCCTGGCACTCACTCTGGAGACCAGGCTGGCCT